TGAATGCAGTTGTTTCTGTTTGATGGTCATGTTCCACCTTGATCTACACAGGAAGCTGGCGTTGAAGTTCCACCCCGACAAGAATCCAGACAATCCAGAAGCGACAGATAAGTTCAAGGAGATAAACAATGCCCATGCCATTTTGAATGACCCCACGAAGCGTAATATTTATGACAAATATGGTTCTCTGGGACTATATGTGGCTGAGCAGTTTGGAGAGGAGAATGTTAACACTTACTTTGTCCTTTCAAGCTGGTGGGCAAAGGTGAGACCAAGAAAAGACCTTAGCTATTTCAATTTTCCATTTAGACTTGTATTCCTTTTCCTTTGCTCACACCCTTTATTTTCGCTTCCTCCCATACATCTGCTTGCCTGCAGGCTCTGTTTGTACTCTGCGGCCTAGCTACTGGCTGCTACTTCTGTTGCTGCCTGTGTTGCTGCTGTAACGGCTGCTGTGGAAGATGTAAACCACGACCTCGGGAGGGCCAGGACCAGGACTTCTATGTGTCCCCCGAGGACCTGGAGGCTCAGCTGCAATCTGACGAGAGGGGTAAGACCAAACGACTCGTGTTGCCTCTCTGCTTTTGAATTTGTCAGAGAGTTATTATCAGGAGGAGGCAGAATGCAAACACTAACATGTTGTTACTGTTTGTCAAACAGAGGCTGGTGGTGACCCTATAGTGCTGCAACCATCAGCAACAGAGACAACCCAGTTGACATCGGATGGGCACCACTCCTACCACACTGACACTGGCTTCAACTAACCCTCTGTTCCCATCAATCCTGGCCTGTGGTCCTGCCTGCTTCCCTGCTCCACCTCAGTGAGATGAAAGAAAGGGGCAATTCATCGTTCCTCTTCAGACAGAGAGCTATGCGGAGGAGAGGGACTAGTAAGCATGGCCCATGAAAGGAACTAATGAAGTCCCGTCCCTTACACCCCTCCCTGATCGGTCCACAACTTGTTTCCCACAGTGTGAGAAGAAAATCAAAACAACTAGATTGTTTCCTTTTTGTCTCTTCTTTTGTATTTCTTGGCCTTTAACCACACAGGTCGCCTACCCCACCTTCCCTCTTCCATATTTCGCATCATGGTGTAGCATGCACTGGTTATAAAACATGGTCTCCAAATCTC